TCTCCTCATTTGCTTAGATAATTCACCTAAGATACTTGTAACTTCGTCTCTTAGAGGTGACTTATGAATCAAGCCTCACGTTCATGTCTAATTCCCTCGTTACGTTGCTGAACTTGTACTCTAAGTATTCTGTCTTAGTCCTGCTCAACTTGAAATCTTTGGACTCTAAGATCTGTCTCCAGACCTCCAACTTCTTGTTAACATCGCCTCGCGCGTCGTTAACTAGTATTATGTCACTACAAATAACATACACCATGGTGTCTCTCCTTAAATATGGTGTATCAGTGCGTCCATCGCCAAGACAAATAAAAACGAGCTAAGGGAAGATCCTTGGTGTAACCCCATCACAACCAGAAAATAATCTAAGACTCCTCACATTGTCCTTACCTGAGTCTTAGCTCCATCATACATGTCCTTAATCACCCTAGTGTATACTACGGGAATACCTTTAGCCTCCAAACATCTCCAAGGAACCTTCCTTGGGACCTTATCTCACGCTTTCTATAGGTCAATAAACATAATATGCAAATCCTTCTTCCTTTCCATGTACTATTCCACCAACCTCCTAACAAGGTGGATGACTTTCGTAGTCGAACGTCTCGGCATGAATATGAACTGGTTCTCGGATATAGACACAGTCCTACTTACACTCACTTCTACTATCTTCTCCCAAACTTTCATAGTAAGATTAAGTAACTTGATACTCCTATAGTTGTTATAAATTTATAATTTTGGATTTCTTGTTCTTGTACAGCGGAATCATCATACTCCACCTCCATTCCACGTGCATCTTCTTGTTGCTCCCAAACGCACATACAAGTATACGTGGTCATGCAAGTGATAAAATGATAAGTCGAGTGTCGAACCCACAGAAATTTGTATTAACTACCCACTAAATTCACCAAGATTGTTATTTAGTCGATCCAATCCAAATTCAAAAGTGTGATTATACTAAACAGTAAATCTAACTAGTAACTAAATTATCAAGCAGCAAAATAGTTGTTGTGTATTCAGTAGAGACAAATATTTCAGGGTTGTGATCGATTCACCAATCCTATTGTGTTCTAGTTAACTCTCCCTTTCATATAATTCACTCATGGTTGCAAATTAATCAAAAAATTGCTCTCATAGCCTTCTCCTGAAGTATTACTCGCGTATTTAAAATATATTAATGCCTATATTCCTATGAAATCAATATATTAAGAACTCATTAAGATTACGATATCTAATTAAACACGGTGACTAGGTATATTCCTATCCTAACCACAAATCCCCCCACCCCTCAGAGTTAAGATCGTGCCTCTTCAATTCTTTTATAATCTAAATATGGCTTTCTCAAGCATAGCATAGATAGTAAATAGAACCTAACTGTTGGCCAGACATATAAGCAATTAATAAACAGAATTAAAGAAACAACCATATATTAGTGAATCGTAATCAAGGTTAATTCAGCGTTAAACAACAATACTCATGGCTAAATCACAATCCCACAACTACGGGTTTTAGCCACTCATGATAGTATCAAACAAATTCATAAGTGTTGGATAATTGAAAATACTAAGAAAAGATGAAGAAATCCAATATATCCTTGCTCCCGGATCATTCTCGTGTGTCTCTAGGTCTAAAGTGTGTCCAAAGTCCAAAAATAATATTTTCCATGTATTTATACCAAGTAGGGTCGGACCTAGACAAAATCTTCCTTTCCGAGCCGAAATAGGAAAACTTGCAAACTTAATGCTTTCCATGCATTACCCAGGGCGTCGCACTAATGCCTTTTCCTGTTAGACCACAAAAAACCCAATCTCTGAACTTTAGAAATTTCTGACAAAACTTTGCATTAATACATCGCACAATGTGCCTCGCACTAGTGCATTTCTTCAGCAGTTGCTTGTTCCTTGAATTTTGACGTCCAAAATTGATCCTCGACCTCCGAACATGATCTCGGCTTAATCCCTTGGGCTTATACTCAGACTTCAAAGCTCCAATTAGCTTGAATTAGTTCCACAACATCTACATAACTCGGAATCACTCCTACAAGGCATAAAAGACACAATAAGTGCAAAACACTAGCGATTAAAGCTCAAGCACAATTAAAGTGTAGTGAATTAGAGTGAAATAAACGACTAAAACACGAGATTATAGCCTACCATCAACACCTCACACTTATATCATTGCTCGTCCTCGAGCAATCAAACTACACTTTACAATAACATGACCTTTTTAAACAATCCTCCTAACTCGTCATACCAAGAATATTTAAAGTAGACTAAGCACAAGAGTGTAACATCTTAACCTCAAGATTTGACTCACAAGTACCACACATTATTCACAACTCACTCACTTACTCTAACATAAAGGTTAATGACATTACTTTTCCTTCATGAATCAAGGGACCTCACACAACAAAAGAGAGTAGTTTCACATACAATAAACTTTAAGAACAATTAGGAACTCAGGATAGAAAGAATTCACTCACTCTCAGAAATAACATTCATATGCCACAAAAGATGCACCATAGGCTTGTTCGTAGTATACTACTCTACTAATCGAGCTCATTCAGTCTAAGACCAAGTAGGACTTTAATTAGTAGTAATGTAGGCTGTGAGACTGGTAGGATACATTTAGATATAAGAGTGACTACAACTCCCTAAGCACTTTAATACATACACTTTAACATTTAAATCCCATACTTATGTCAAACCATAACTCCACATTCACATTAATATACATCAACTCCCTACTTCTTTAAGCATAATTATATCAAGAGTTGCCACTTTTAAGGAATATTTTTCACAACAATACAACTATTTTTTTCTTTTCTTTTTCAATTCAAGTGGCTCTTAATTTTTCAAGACAGTGCACCTGTCTCCTTATTTCATTAGTTCCACTCAAAAGCCAAACCAACCACCCCACACTTTAACTTTTACAAAGTTCATAACAATTTGTGCTCATGAGAGGTGAAAAGGTTCAAATAGATGGTTAATTCAAACAAATGGGTAAGGCTTTTAATGTGGTTGCCAAAGAAACAGGATCACAGGATCAAAGGAATTAACTATGATACATAACAATTAGGTGAGTAAAATATATATATCTGGCTCAACAAAGAAGCGCCTATATCACTTCTAAGACTGAACAAAACTACTATTTCTCTTTACAAACACACGGAGCAAGCATTAAACATCAAATGCAATGCACAGATTAACTCATAAACCTCACACACACATGGCACATAACTAACTCAGGATTGGACTCATCAAGACACTCTAGTCAAAGCAGTTATATAAAGTTAAGATCATACAATTTAAGATACTTATACAAGAGTCAAAAACCAAGCTTAAGCGTCACAACCAAAGTACTTACTATTCTCAAGGCATAACAAAGTTAAGAGATATTGCTTCAAATCAATTCATAGCACACTGGCTCCTACTCTTAAAAAAATACAACTAACTACACCCGGTTCAAACAAAACCCTTGTAAAAGAGCCGCGACACAAAGAAAAATCAAGGGGTAATTGCTACACTACCTACAAAGAAAATCTTTTTGTCCTTTTTCTTTTCGACTTAAATCTCTCGAGAAAACTGTCTAGGAGATCCATCGTTGGGAAAAGTCCTAATTTTTTGATTTTTTTAAAAACAAAAACTACTACACTAAGAAGAATACTACAACTAAGCTAAAATAGCACAGAAAATTACCCAGACAATCTCCTCACCCCACACTTAAAATTGTGCAATGTCCTCAATGCACATTATAAATAACAAGAGTGTAAAGAGACTCCCTAGTAGGCCAAAGGCCAAAGAATTAGCAGCTCATGGGTACTCAGACTTCCCCCAGGTATGGTCCTTTGTGTGGTCACCCCACACTTAGTTCTCATCATTTAGCTCGTTTTTTTCACCCTTCCAATGGCTTTGCTTCCTACGCTTATAATCCCACAAAAGAAAATAGACACTACAAAAATACTATAATACAAATAAAAATAAAAGAAAAAAGTAAAGTTGGGTTACCTCCTAACAAGCGCCTGATTTAACGTCGCGGCACGACGCAGAGCCTCGCTTACTCATCAGCGAGTACAACTTTGGCCTTCTTACAACCAATTATTCCTCCCCAATAGTGCTTGACTCTATGTCAATTCACTAAAAATTTCCTATCACCATTTAATTCACACAACTCAATTTCACTATAAGGAGTGACTCTCACCACCTCAAACGGGCCTGGCCATCTCGATTTTAACTTCCCAGGAAGCAGCTTGAGCCTAGAATTGAACAATAATACCTGTTGGCCTGGCTCTAAGTGACGTGACTTGATACGCTTGTCATGCCATCTTTTCGTTTTCTCTTTGGAAAACTTTGCATTTTCGTAAGAGTGCAGCCTGAACTCATCTAACTCATTCAACTGCAAGAGTCTCTTCTCACCCGCAGCTTCAAGGTCCATATGCAACTTTTTAATGGCCCAGTATACTTTGTGTTCAAGCTCAATAGGCAAGTGACATGCCTTCCCATAAACAAGCTTATACGGCGATGCCCGAATTGGCATTTTGTATGCAGTTCTATACGCCCACAAGGCATCATCTAACTTTGCAGCCCAATCCTTCCTATTCATACTCATCGTCTTCTCTAAGATTTGCTTTATTTCTCTGCTAGACACCTTATCTTGTCCACTTATTTGAGGATGATATGCTATAGTAACTCTATGGTGGACTCCGTATTTAGCTAGAAGGTTATTCAATAACCGATTGCAAAAATGTGTCCCTTCATCACTAATCAAGGCACTGGAGTCCCAAATCTTGAGAATATGTTCTTTTTCACAAATGCAGCTACTACCATGGCAATATTTGTTGGCAATGTGATCACCTCTACCCATTTTGACACATAGTCGACTGCTAGCAAGATGTACTTGTTTCCTCTGGACAAAAGGAATGGTCCCATAAAATCTATCCCCCACATATCAAAAATCTTGACCTCCAGGATGTTAGTCAAAGGCATCTCATGCCTCTTTGTGATTGTTCATGTTCTTTGACACTGCTCACACTTCTTACCAAATGCATGGGCGTCCTTGAATAATGTTGGCCAAAAGAAACCGTACTGTAATACCTTTGCAGTTGTTCTATCGCCTCCATGATGCCCCCCATACGGTGATGCATGAAAATTATACAAGACTAATTCCACCTCCTTTTTTGGAATGCATCTCCTCATCAACTGATCAACATACTGTTTGTATAAGTATGGCTCATCCCAGTAGTAGAAGTTCACATCATGTAGAAACCTCTTTCTAGCTTCAGATTCAGTTTCAGGAGAAAGTACCCCACTCACAAGATAGTTCACATAGTCCGTGTACCATGGGGGAGAGTCTTGGGTGATAGCAAAATGTTGCTCATCATGAAATGCCTCTTTAATTTCTCCACCCTCCTCCACGTGTTCGTGACTTTCTTGCCTTGATAGATGGTCAGCTACATGGTTCTCTGTGCCCTTTTGATTTCGTATTTCTACATCAAATTCCTGCAACAATAAAACCCAGTGCATCAATCTAGCCTTAGATTCCTTTTTTGTAATAGATACCTGATTGATGCATGATCGGTATGGAATATGACTTTCGTTCCCACCAAGTATGCCCTAAATTTCTCACAAGCCCACACCACGGCTAACAACTCCTTTTCAATGGTGGTGTAATTCAGCTGCGCATCATCAAGAGTCTTACTCGCATAGTAGATAGAATAAAATACCTTGTCTTTCCTCTAGCCTAACACTGCCCCAATAACATGGCCATTTGCATCACACGTAAGTTCAAATGGTAAATACCAATCCGGTGCCGTAATAATAGGGGAATCCACCAACTTCTTTTTGATCTCTTCAAATGCCTTTAGGCAGGCGTCATCAAAATTGAAAGTTACATCCTTTAAGAAACTTGCACAAAGGAGTAGCAATTTTTGAAAAATCCTTTATAAAGCATCGATAGAACCCCGTGTGTCCCAAGAAACTCCGGACACCCTTCACAGAAATGGGTGGAGGTAATTTTTCAACTGCCTCCACCTTTGCCTTATCAACTTCAATGCCTCTTCTAGACACTCTATGACCCAACACGATACCTTCCTACACCATAAAATGGCACTTTTTCCAATTCAATACTAGATTTTTTTCTTCACAACAGGCTAACACCTTGCTCAAATTCTTCAAACAGTCATCAAAAGAAGACCCAAAGACTGAAAAATCATCCATAAAGACTTTCACAAATTTTTTTACCATATTGGTAAAAATAGCCATCATGCATCTTTGGAAAGTGGCAGGTGCATTACAAAGATCAAATGGCATGCACTTGAAGGCGAAAGTGCTATAAGGACAAGTAAAAGTGGTCTTCTTCTGATTCTCTAGGCATATGACAATCTAGTTGTACCCCGAATAACCATCAAGGAAGCAATAATATGCATGCCCCACCAACCTGTCCAACATTTGGTCAATGAATGGAAGTGGGAAGTGGTCCTTGCGGGTTGCTTTGTTGAGCCTTCTGTAATCAACGCAAACTCTCCTACCTGTCACAGTGCGAGTAGCAATTAGCTCAGTTTTCTCATTCTATACCACAATCATCCCCCCTTTTTGGGCATAAATTGTATCAGGCTTACCCAGTTACTGTCAGAGATAGGAAAGATAATACCTGCATCCGCCACTTAATTACTTCCTTCTTCACGACCTCTTTCATAATGGGATTTAATCTCCTTTGTTGCTCAATATTGGGGCGGTGTCCATCTTTCAAAAAGATTTTATGCATGGAAAATGATAGACTGATTCCCTTGATGTCAGCAATTATCCACCCAATAGCCTTTTTATGCTCGCGAAGTACTCTAAGCAATTTTCCTTCTTGTGCATTAGTCAAGATGTATGAGATAATCACTGGCATTGTCTCAGAGTTTCCCAAATAAGCATAGCGTAGATGCACTAAAAAAGGCTTAAGTTCTACCTTTTGAGCTTCTTCAATAGATGAATTAGGAGGGGTCGAAGTGATAGGCCTTTCCAACTCCTCAAATCTTTCAAACCCATGGACATAACTGCAAGACATGTCAAGTACTTGCTCAATTTCTCCCATTATTTCATCTTCACTGTCTTCTTCATCCCTAATCAAAGTTTGTTCAAGAGGATCTATGGGGCTCTTACAAGGCACCAATGATGTAGCATCATTTTCCACCACAGAAATCATGGATAGCTCTTCATAGTGGATTGACAATCTGAGTGCTTTATACACATTGAATACCTCCACTCAATCGCTGGCTCTCATCGTCATCTTTCCATCGCATACATCAATAATAGCTCGACCTGTGGCTAAGAATGGATGCCCAAAAATAAATTGGACTTCCTGATCATGCTCGTAGTTCAAGATAATGAAATCGGCAGGGAATATGAAAGAACCCACTTGAACTAACACATCTTCAATCACTCCTTCAGGATAAGTAAGGGAGCGATCAACCAACTATAAGATTACCGTTGTTGGTCATGGCTCGCCCAGACCCAACTGTCTGAATACATATAGCGGCATGAAATTGATGCTCGCTCCAAGATCACACAAAGCTCGCCCGGTTGCGTGCTTACCAATCGAGATTTGGATAGTGAAACTACCCGGATCCTTCAATTTCTAAGGTAGCTCGCTTTGGATTCTAGAGCTACATTCCTCAGTGAGCGCAGTAATCTCGAATTCGATCAACCTCCTTTTATTTGCCACTATGTCCTTGATGTATTTTGCATATTTGGGTACTTCTTGCAGGATGTCTACTAGTGGAATATTGATTTGCACTTGCTTCAAAATATCAAAAAACTTTTTATACGCGGCATTATCCTTCACTTTCTGCAATCTTTGAGGGAATGGAGGTGGTGGCCTCGCAACTAATGGTGGGGGTTGCTTAGCCACCACCTCTTCAGCTGGCTTCTCTGACTCATTTGATTTTTCTAATTCTAACTCTATAGTGGCTGGCTTCTCATTAAAGGTCACTCTCTCATTCCTCAATGACACGTCATTAATAGATGCCTTAGGATTAGCCTCAGTGTCGCTGGGAAGAGCTCCAACTAGTTGAGTATTTTGGACACTGGCAAGTTGTCCCATTCGTCGCTCCAAATTTCTCATTGTTGCGGCTTGGGCCTGCTGATTAGCCATTACTTTATTCATTATCTCTAATATTTGGGCCTGCTCGTCAGCCATAAATTTCTTTATCATTTTCTCAAGGTGACTCGTCGAGTTTGCATGTTGTTTAGCCTGAGGTGGTCTATATTGTTGTTGAGGTGCTTGTGGCCTATATTGATTCTGAGCACCTTGGTTTCCACCCCAAGAGAAGTTTGGGTGGTTCCTCTAGTTGGGATTGTAAGTGTTCTCATACTAGTTTGTCTGGCCCCTATTTGCATTACCCACAAAACAGACAGACTCTAGATTAGCTGGGCATAAGTCGCTTGTATGACCCTCTCCACATACTTCACAAAACAATTGAACCTGATGCACTGGCGGGGCTTGTTGCTTGTTAATAACCAAGTTCATTTGATTGACTTGGTTGGTTAATGTGGAAATCTGTACTGATAATGTAGATATGACATCTAACTCAAGAACCCATGTAGATTTTTGCATTGTGTGTCTGCCCATCTCTCATTGCCAATCAGGATTGCTTTTGGAGAATTTGTTCAATAATATATATATCTCATCAAAGCTTTTCTCCAACACTTGACCTCCAGCTGCAGCATCTACCACAATCTTTGTCTCAGGATGTAGCCCTTCTATGCAAGTGTGAGCTAACACTTTGTTTGTCTGATTGTGATGAGGACAGTCTCTGAGCAGCCCCTTGAACCTCTCCCCAAGTTGAGTATAAAAACTCCCCCGCTTTCTGTTTGAAGGCAACTATTTCACTTCTGATCTTTGCAGTTTTGCTTGAAGGGAGGAACCTTGCCAAAAATTCCTTGCCAGATCATTCCATGATGTAATAGAATTAGTTGGTTCTGCCTTCAACCATCACTTTGCTTCGCCCAACAGAGAGAACAGGAAAAGTGTGAGCCTCAGATAGTCTGGAGTGACTCCATTAGTGATATAAGTATCACTAATCTCCAAAAAGTTCAGGATATGTTGTTGTGGATCCTCGTGTGGAAGACCCATAAATTACCCATTCGCATGTAGTAGTTGGATCATGCTCTGTTTCAGCTCAAAAGTGCCCAGTGATTCTGGGCTTCACAATACTGAAGGTGACATTAGCAATGATGGGCATCGCCACCTCCTGAACAACCATATGTTGCTCCTCTGCCATGTTCACAGGAAATTGAACAAGTGCCTGAAGATTATTTGTGTTCCTTGCTTCCCTCTACCTCCTATGAAATGTTCTCTCAGGTTCGGGGTCAAAGACTTGAAGTCTATCCTAGCTTCTGACCCTACGCATTCAATCAAAGTTCCTGAGATCATAGCAATAATCAAGTAATGTTAGACTTGACGAAATAAACAATGAAAGCAAAAACTAAAAAGTAGTCAATATTCAAGTCCCCGGCAACGGCGCCAAAAACTTGTTGCTCCCAAACGCGCACGCAAGTATACGTGGTCGTACAAGTAATAAAATAATAAGTCGAGTGTCGAACCCACAAAGACTTGTATTAACTGTCCACTAAATTCACCAAGATTGTTATTCAATCGAGCCAATCTGAATTCAAAAGTGTGATTATACTAAACAATAATTCTAACTAGTAACTAAATTATCACAGCAAAATGGTTGTTGTGTATTCAGTAGAGACAAGTATTTCAGAGTTGTGATCGATTCACCAATACTATTGTGTTCTAGTTAACTCTCCCTTTCATACAATTCACTCATGGTTGCTAATTAATCGAACAATTGCTCTCATAGCCTTCTCCCGAAGTACTACTCGCCTATTCAAAATAGATTAACGTCTATATTCCTATGAAATCAATCTATTAAGAACGTATTAAGATTACGATATTTAATTAAGTATGATGACTAGGTATATTCATATCCTAACCACAAATCCGCCCCCACCCCCTCAGAGTTAAGATCGTTCTCTCTTCAATTCTTCTCTAATCTAAACATGGCTTTCTCAAGCATAACATAGATAGTAAATAGAACCTAACTGCTGGCCAGACAAGTAAGCAGTTAATCACAGAACTAAAGAAACAATCATATATTGGTGAATTGTAATCAAGGTTAAGTCAACGTTAAACAACAATTTCATGGCTAAATCACAACCCCAGAACTATGGGTTCTAGCCACCCATGATAGACAAACAAATTCATAAGTGTTGGATAATTGAAAATACTAAGAAAAGATGAAGAAATCTGAGATATCCTTGCTCCCGGATGTTTCTCGTGTGTCTCTAGGTCTAAAATGTGTTCAAAGTTCAAAAAATAATGTTCTTCCATGTGTTTATACCAAGTTGGGTCAGACTAGACAAAATCTCCCTTTCCTAGCCGAAATAGGAAAACTTGCAAACTTAATGCTTTCCATGCATCGCCTAGTGCGTCGCACTAATGCCTTTTCGTGTCAGACCACAAAAAACCCAGTCTCTAAACTTCAAAAATTTCTGACAAAAAACTTTGCACTAATGAGTCGCACAGTGCCTCACACTAGTGCATTTCTTCAGCATTTGCTTCTTCCTTGAATTTTGACTCGGAATCACCCCTACAAGGCATAAACATACATTAAGTGCAAAACACTAGCGGTTAAAGCTCAGACACAATTAAAGTGTGGTAAATTAGAGTGAAATAAACGACTAAAATACGAGATTATAGCCTACCATCACTTCTCCGTCCTAGAAATGATGTTAAACAACCTAGTCAACCACTCCAAGCTTCCCCTATCCACATACATCCAAAATTCCACCGAAATTTCATTTGGCTCGGTCGCTCTGGCCCTACTCATCTTACACATATCCACCACGACCTACTCAATATTTATGCGCTTACAATACCCAAAATCTCGATGACTCTCGAAATGCTCCAAATCACCCAACATAAAGTTCATGTCCCATATTCATTCAGGAGTTTATGAAAATAAGTATGCCATCTTCGCTTAATCTGTGCCACTTCCATTAAACTCTGTCTTCCTCGTCTTTGATGCCCCTCACTTAGTTCAGATCACGAGCCTTCCCTTTTCTCACTTTGGCCAGCCTAAATAGCTTCTTGTCACCGCCTTTGTCCCCCAGTTCTTCATACAAACGACCAAACGTTGCAGTCTTAGCCTCCGTGACCGCTAACTTTGCCTCCTTCTTAGCCTTCTTATACCTTCTTGGTTCGTCCTCTTCTCCTCCTCGTTCGTGATCTCACTAACTTCAAGTACGTCGCTTTCTTTGCTTCTATTTTTTCTTGGACCTCTTCATGCCACTACTAGTCCCCTTTGTGACCGCCAGAATAACCTTTCGAGACCCGTAACACCTCTCTCTCAACTTCCTTAATGCAGCTCATCGTCATAATCGACATGTCATTCGCATCCCCATTACTCCTTCAGGCCTCCATGGCTAATAATTTCTCCTCAACTCCTGAGCTTTGTCCATAGTCAAGACTCCCACCTAATCTTCGATCGATCCCATTTTGAAGAGCCGAAAGCACAATTAAGGACTAAATTCGGAGTTTAATCCAATGGGTCTCTTAAAAAGAAGAAAGGAACAGATCAACAACAGGCCCCTCGACGATAAAATCTTGCATATTTGAAGTCAAATTTATGCAAAGTCCTTCTCAGAAACAATCCAATTACTACAAACTTAACCCAATAAAGAAAAAAAAACAGATCTTCCAGAAATAGGGAAAAGCCAAAAATATGAAAAAGATATTAGTCTTGAACTCTTGATAGAGACCAATCTCATCCAAATCCTTATTTGCCCATTCCTAATTTCCTATCTTCATCGACATTGAAAGGCGCGCCAAAAATAGCAACTACCTCCTCTCCATCCAATAATGCACTTCCACGTGTCAAGCCAGCCATCATCACACGTCACACTAACGTTCCGTAGAAACTATTTCAATCCCTTCAACATTTCCAACTTCCATAACCATAACACCTCCTTTCTCTCTCTCTACCTATACATACAACAATTCTGTATCTATAGTTCTATACATTCATTCGATTCGCTGTATTTTTTAAAGATTCAATGGAGCTTCAAAAGATCAGCTCAAAGGGTGTCCAGAACACTGAAGAAAATCAAGAAACCGTAAACCGGCGAATCCAACGGTTGACTTTACATCTGAACCCGGTTCAGGACATCACCCCGGTCCACTTAGAGCTGCTAACGTGCGCGTCGGGGAAGGCGAAGACGATTAACGTGAGCACTGTAACACTGTCGGAATACATGAGAGGGAAGCATAGGGATATACAAGAACAAGTTTATGCTTACTTCAATTCAAGACCTGAACTTCAGACGCCAATTGAGATATCAAAAGATGAACACAGAGAATTGTGCATGAAACAACTTGTGGGGTTGGTAAGAGAAGGTGGGATAAGGCCGTTTAGGTATGTGGCTGAAGATCCGGCTAAGTATTTTGCTATTGCTGAAGCTGTTGGAAGTGTTGACATGTCACTTGGCATCAAAATGGGTGTTCAGTACAGGTTATTTCTTTTTCTCTGCCCCTTGCTTTTATATTTTACTGATTTTTTGTATTTATTGTTTTGCTAGCCTCTGTTTTGTTTGTTTGTGTTTATTGTTTTTTCTCTTCCTTTGGTGGCAGTTAGAGGATTATGGAATTAGCTATTTAGGTTTAGTTGGTATGATCAATTTGGTACTGAATAATATCATATTTTGAATTTCTTTTACTCAATTCTTTGTGCTGAATATTTAACCAGAAAGATCAGAAAATATAGGTAATACTAGTATAATTTGTGAAGATAGTCTAATATCTGTCTTTTCTTCTCTTTCTGTGTTTAGTTCTTGTTAGTATTAATTTTGAAGTTATTGTTAATGGAAATTGATCTAGCTTTGATCAACAATATTGTTGTTGTTTTCACTTAGTTAAACATATCTTCCTCGAGTACAACAAGGAGGCAATCATTGGTATAGAAAGGTTGACGGCGTAGCCACGGGCGGATTCAATGTGAACCCAGTAGTTTTTGCCCAAATCATGTATATTTATTAAGAATCTACTAAACATCTATAAATATTTGACTGCGAATCCAGTTATTATAGTATATTAACTTGAGGTCGCTGTAGGAACCCATAAACTTCAAATGTTGGATCCGCCTCTGGCAGCATAGCCACCTCATCATACTTAGGAATTTTGTTATTAAGTTGAACCAAGTTGTGCTATTACACGACTAGGCGTTTTCTATTGTCTTCCCATTGAACTAGCAGCCATACTCTCCAGTTTGCATCGATGCCACACAACTGCCATAGAAAGGGGATAGCTACAAATTCTTTCTTAGCAACTTGAGCATTCTTGCTTGTTTCACTCCTTACAATGCCTCTGATGAAGTTTCTGAAATGGTTTCAATTGCTTTCAGTTGAGTTCAAGAGCAGTAATAGAAACAGAACAGATAGTCTTCTTTTTGAATAAGATGGTAGGGACCAATCTGATTCTTATATTCTCATAGCAGATATTTACATAGAGTTCTAGTCAAGGCCTTGATCCGCTCTTTCGTGTTAATTGATGTAAGCTAAGGCTTAAACAATGTTGCAAATCTACGTTAGCGATAGCCGTATCTCCATCTAATCCAGACCAGAATAAATTGAGCTTTAGGACTCTCTTATCTTCAATTAATTCTCTTTTAGCAATAAGGAAGACCTGAATGCGAAGAATAAGAGACTTCAAAAGCTTACATTATCCAAGGGAAAAAAAAAGATTCTTAATAAGGTTTTACAATTGGACGTGTAAAACCAGCTATACAGTTTTCTGCTTTTTTGTTAGTATGTGCAAGTGATTTAAGTTCCTTGTAAAAACGACTTGTGACCATGCTTCTGTCCAATTGCCAACTTATCATCTATTCAAGTATGCGAGAACTAGAAAATGTTGCTTCTCTAAATGCATCATCCAAACCTTAAGCCGGTTGGTGACAAAGAGTGTCCTAGTAAAACTTACGTACCATAGGGTTGTTTTTGCTAACTCTCCATTTGTTACAGTGTATTTCCATTAAATGATGTCAACGTGGTGTAATTTTCTGTTAAAGTTGCATTTGTCAATCTCTATTGCCTATAGCAACTATGATGGATCTTATGTTTTAAGTTTCTCGTTAAAAGAGGTAATAACAAATTCTTACCTGACTGGACTTTCAATGCAGTCTTTGGGGAGGTTCTGTTATCAACTTGGGAACTAAAAAGCACAGAGACAAATATTTTAATGGTATAGACAATGTGGACTACCCTGGCTGCTTTGCAATGACAGAACTTCATCATGGTAAAGTGTGTTGTACCACTTCTTTTATTATTATCGCTTTCACTATCAACTTCCATCTTATAATCCGTGGTAAAAGTCTGTAATGTTTCCGATGCTCTTTGGTGCATTTGCACTACACATACAGTTGTTTTAGTACCTTTTCTCCTAAGAGTATGCAATTTTGTGGAGGGAGATGATATTTGTCTGTCACATAAATAGCCAAAGTAGTGATAGATCCTTTACACATTGGTCAGCGCATATAAGAAATGTTGCTAGGAATTTGCAAGGTTAGTCTGTTCTGTATTTGTCTGTATCCATGACTTATTTACAGCATTATCTTCCAAAGAAATGTTAAGATCATTTTGTCGTTCTCATTTGCATTAAAGGAATATTAAGGCAATATCACTGCAATATCTTGAAGTTGAAGATGCAGTTATGTATAGACCGGGCGGCTAATGAAGTATAACATCCATAAGAATTCCGCTTAATTGAATTAAAAGACTTACCATATAGTGCTTTTTTTTTTTTTATTTCGATAATTAGGACACTTGGATTTTCTCTAATTCGTTTTGATCCTTTTGCTAATCAGGTTCAAATGTTCAAGGTCTTCAGACAATTGCCACCTTTGATCCTCTCACAGATGAATTCATAATTGACACGCCAAATGATGGGGCCTTAAAGTGGTGGATTGGTAATGCTGCTGTTCATGGAAAATTTGCAACAGTTTTTGCAAAACTGATGTTACCAACTCATGATACAAAAGGTGTTACCGACATGGGCGTTCATGCATTTATTGTTCCGATAAGGGATATGAAGATCCACAAGACATTACCAGGGGTTGAAATACATGATTGTGGCCATAAAGTTGGCTTGAATGGAGTAGATAATGGTGCATTGAGATTTCGCTCAGTAAGAATTCCACGAGATAACCTTCTTAATCGATTTGGAGACGTCTCACGGGATGGGAAATACACTAGCAGCCTGCCTTCAATCAGCAAAAGATTTGCTGCCACACTTGGAGAACTTGTTGGTGGTAGAGTTGGCCTTGCATATTCTTCTGTGGGTGTCCTCAAGATTGCTGTTGTTATTGCAACAAGATATTCTCTGCTACGCCAGCAATTTGGTCCTCCCAAACAACCTGAAGTTAGTATACTTGACTACCAATCTCAGCAGCACAAGCTTATGCCAATGTTGGCTTCAACTTACGCATTCCATTTTGCCACACTGCATCTGGTGGAGAAATATTCTGAAATGAAGAAGTCTCGTGATGAAGAACTGATAGGGGATGTACATGCACTTTCGGCAGGGCTTAAGGCCTATATCACTTCTTACACAGCAAAGTCATTGAGCACATGTAGAGAAGCTTGTGGCGGCCATGGTTATGCTGCTGTCAATAGGTTTGGAAGTTTGAGGAATGATCATGACATATTTCAGACATTTGAGGGTGACAACACTGTTCTTCTGCAGCAGGTTCAGATTTTGTGATTTCATGTTCATGCCCTCTTTCACACTGAAACAACTGTTCTGTTTCTTAATGATTTTAAACAAAATATAATTAATGAATAGGGTGTAACAAGTTTTCTTATGATCCAGGTAGCCGGTCTTCTATTGAAACAGTATGGGGAGAAATTCCGAGGTGGGCAGCTCACTGTTACATGGAACTACCTAAGACAATCCATGAATTCTTACCTCGCTCAGCCTAACCCAGTAACTGCTAGATGGGAAGGTGAAGCTCACCTACGAGATCCTAACTTCCAATTGGATGCTTTTAGGGTGAGTATTTTGTGGTCATCTGGTGTAGAGTGCATATTGGCATACAACAATATTGTATGTCTAACTAAGCTTTAACTGCTCCTTTTCCAGTATCGTACGTCAAGATTGCTTCAAAGTGTAGCTATCCGGCTTCAGAAGCACTCCAAGACTCTTGGAGGATTTGGTGCTTGGAATAGATGCTTAAATCACCTCTTGACGCTTGCAGAGTCTCATATTGAATCCTTCATCCTTGAAAAATTCATTGAAGCTGTCAAGAAGTACTTCCCGATCAAAATTTGAGAAGCTTGTTCTTTCCTTCAACTAGTATTTATCTAATATCTCCTTTTCTACAGTTGCCTTGATGAAAGCTCTCGTGCTGCCCTAAAACTCGTGTGTGATCTTTATGCCTTGGATAGAATCTGGAATGACATAGGAACTTACCGCAATGTGGACTACGTGGCTCCCAACAAAGCTAAGGTAAGAATCTAGGGAAAATTTTCTGGAACTGCAGTTACTTCATCTTAGTCTCTAAAATCTAACAATGAATGAAACTTAAAACGTTCTAGAATATTATTTTGGAATGTCTGAATCAAATTGTAGATTTGCTGTTTAAGTATGGTTTCTTATGCTCAACACGGGAAGCGAGGTTTATTGTGTCTTTGACCCCCTTCATTTTAGATGCTATAGATGTGCCAGTAGTTTTGCCAACCCTCCTATTTTGATATCCATCTAAATTGAATGGTTCTTGGCAAATATGGTTATCTTAGAAGTCGAATGAGCAAAAACTAAACCCTTTTTTTTTTAATTAACTCTCTCAAGTCAGGTCGATTTTCTTTCACGTCTGACCATCCGCTTTTGATTAACAGGCAATTCACAAGTTAACAGAATATCTATGCTTCCAAGTTAAGAATGTCGCAAGGGAACTTGTTGACGCCTTTGATCTTCCAGATTATGTTACTCGTGCTCCAATCGGTGTGCAGGCTGCATCAGAAGCTTATTCACAGTATACTCAGATTGTTGGTTTTTAGTTTTTAACAAAAAGCGGGCGGTTATCTTTTCCTGTTTTTGTTCTTCATCGTCGTTTTCACTGTTCAAAAGGTTCCCCCTTGTCGGTGAATAGTGGGTAGGAGGGAAGAAGAATACAGAAGGGTGGTTAAGAGGTTCCTTATAGATATACTAAAATATGTATCCCCATTGGTGTCAAGCTTCCTGTATCACTTTTATCTTGGTAAGAAAGCTTGATGAACACTTGTTGCATGAACTATTGTCAACAAGTTGTTAAAAGGCAAAATTGATGGACTTGTCTTACATTAAATAAACATGGAATAAGTGATCTGAAGGAGCTGTTTACACTTTGCATATCTGTTTTCACCATCATTCTTGAGTGAAAGTGGAGAGATCGTTTCTGATTTATCTCTGGCTCAAGCAAAGCACCGTCATAGCTGTTTCGATCCTGGGACCTGTCGGTTGTGGCCCACCACCTTATACAAAATAAAGATTAAAAGAAATATTAGAAGTTTTCAAAATTTCCTATTAGCTTAAGAGTCTCATAGATTTAAGACTCCTAGAAAATACATGACTTAAAGTAAATGCACTAACATGACTAAACACAACTAATTGATATCACATATAAACACTATTTTTCTTCTGATTGTGTCCTATCTTTCACTAAAGTTACACTAATTTCAAGAGATTTTATATGACGCAGCTTTGGTCAATATAAATTTAGGTTTACTTCATCCTCATTGAACATCGATTTCACACCTATGAACAAAGTATCTTGAAGTTGGTGCAAGACATAATTAAACCATTTCAAGAGATCTTGCTAGTATGATTGCACATCCATCTTTAGTATCCACATCTCTGCTTTATTCATCTAGTGGATGTGCTGGACTTTAACCTCCCAACATTAACTACCATATAACGTTGCTGGACGTATGAATATTCTAATGCAACTCATAAATAGATCGGATATTTAATGATTAAGCAGATTGCTGAGTGCATCCAAGATTGTTATATAGTAACCTAATTTTCACCAAAAGGAGAAGGGATAACCTTTATCATTCTTGATGTACAAAAATATACTTTCATAACTTTAAAAGTAAAAGTAATGCCAACTATGCAATCATATACTAAAAGCTCTTGGTGGTGGCCGGTAGTTCAAATATGCATTTCGAGCTGTATCACATTTCTGCCTGATATCTTCACACATCTTCAAAGAAGCCTCGGAAAACTTGGTCAGACGGTCCAGAACCCTTGTTAAACTGGAGTGTATGCAATTCAAGTTCGACGACTTCTCATCATTCTTCTCTTCATCTTTAGCCTCCGATTCCTCATTCCCTGTATCAGGAGCAGTTTCTTTCTTTTGCAGTTCCTCAGAGTGGTGCCCAACAGAATGCCGTAGGTCATACAAAAAGTCTTTGATGGCATCACTAAGTTCTTCCGAAGGCAGAGATTTTATCCCAGCTGACCAGTCGCGGCAAAGCACAAATATTGGTGGGGCCAGAACTCTTCTAGGGGAAAATGCTCTTCTGCCTTTGGTTCGCTCGCGTGGATGCAGGATGCAGTTTTGCAGCCAGCTGTTAAGAGCTTCCACATATAATGTATGGCTATTAATCCAGTCCGCAAAACTCAAGCCAAAACACTCTACTTCATCCTGCAGCTGACTCATAATCTGCTTTTGAGTGTCACCCTGAGGACTTGAGGCCGAAGCTTTAGCATGGTATGCTAGGGAGATGGTTATATACTGGGCATGATGGCATTCAAGCATTGCTCTCCACATTCTGATCAATCTGCAAGGAGACCAGATATTATGAATCAAATAGTAAATATAATAGCACACATACAACGCACATGCACGGACAGATGGCCCAAGAAATGAGGTTTAAATAAATAAGTTCCTCAGATTAAAGATGTCCAATAGCAGGATAAACCTAAAAAAACTGTCATTCTTAGTTCTTAGTTCTTACCCTTGGATAAGTTCCAAAAGTTGAGGCAGCAACTCCTCATCCCTCATTTTCTCTATCCGCTTTGATATTGAATCAACAGAATAAAGAGCCACCCTGATGCGCGAATGGAGATCTTTCACCACTGCCCGTGTTTTGTCAATTATTTGGGTGCTAACATCTTTGGCAAATTGATGCCTAAGTTGGTTACACTTCCGATCATACTCTCTCCTGATTGACTCAATTGCCTACAGATAAAAGCAGAATGGCAGCAAATGAGCTTTGAAATACACATGAAAAAGAGAGCTTAATATAGTCTATTGAACAAAGGATAAAAAAATAACTTATTATCTTCAAGATACTACAAAAATGACATGCCTTCCCCTGTACTCTATGCTGTGCGGACTCTTCAAAATCCTTGCCGAACTCGCATTGACACACCAGGGGTGTGGATGTGGGATCCATAACGGATTTGGTCAACTTACCTTGGGTACTTTCACTACCTTCTATGACTGAGAAGTATAAATTATACTTCTATGACTGAGAAGTATAGATTATACTTCTATGACGGAGAAGAGTATACAACAACAACAACCCAGTATAATCCCACTAGTGGGGTCTGGGAAGGGTAGTGTGTATGCAGACCTTATCCCTACCCTGGGGTAGAGAGGCTGTTTCCGATAGACCCTTGGCTCCCTCTCTCCAAGAACTCTTCACCTTGCTCTTGGGGTGACTCGAACTCACAACCTCTTGGATGGAAGTGGAGAGAGAGAAAGAGAAAGAGAGAGTATGAGAATGCTTTTATATGTGAGATATCTTATGACTAAAATATTGGTGTTTACAAAGAATGAAATTTTATTAGTTTTAATTCAATAACTTTAACTAATCGAAATATATACTTTATATGTCGTAATATATATTTATTGGCCATATCCAGCAACCGTATCCCCACTCGGATGCATCATGAAGGCTCCGACCTCTAGATCTGCACCCCGATCGGATACCCGCACCCGAGTCCGAGCAACATAGTCTATACTTCATCTTCATTTCCCCAAGATTCAAGAACAATGATGAGGTGTGAAGTACAACAAAGCCATGGAAGGTCCAAATACCGAAATGAAAATGCATCTTATCAATGCAAGTATCTATACTAAAAGACACTTGAATCCACACTGCTCTTTGACTGGTCGCTAGATATTGGCACCAGTGAGAATTCGAGTAAATGAAGCTCCTAACAAGAACAGCTTCTGAAAGAAGTATTTTGCAGTCTAAAGAAAACTGTAAACTGACCTTATTAGGAAAAAAAGGAAAAAAAAAAAA